CCTGCATGGTCCTTGGCTAATAAGATCATTGCATGTTTCTTGTGATTTTTATTTTTTAGCACTGGTAAGTTGTAGCCCAAAGGCTCATAGCCATAAAACTTTGCTGCTGCTTTAGGTATTCTTGAATTAAATTTACTTTCTTATTGTTTCTGCTTTTACAAAGTGTTTTTTGGTGTTTTGTCTTTAGGGCACTGCTTTGAAAATCTCCTGCCCATCTGACAGCTAAGTTGTTATCATCTGACTTGTCTTTGGCATACTCAGTTCAGTTCCCAGCAGACAGGGTTGATGTATCTCTCATTAGGAAGCTGTGTCTGGGCAGATACTTGACAAGTTGAGTGGGCTCATTACAGACTTCTTCCTTTTTCTTCCTCACATTTTTGCATTTCACCAGTATTTTGTGCAGTTTGTCATCTCAGTAATGTTTCTAATTTAGATCGTGTCCATAGGCTCCAGACCACAGTGTGGTAGGCACAGCAGATATTTTCAATATCAAAGTTTTGGCACCTTTCTCTCTTTTTCTAAGTACTGGATCAAATTGCTACTATTTTGTTCTCCTCATGCTATCCTTGTCCCCCTTCTATATAACATACCAGGCAAAGAGTGAGTGCCTTCTGTATTGCCACCAAAAATCAAATACTGCAGGATGTGGAAAAGTTCTTCCAACTGTAATTTCAAGATGCCTAAAACAAGCTGAAGATGTAAGGCTGCTATGAACATTTCCAATCTGCTAATGAGAGCAGATTCTGCAGTTGGCTTCTCTTCTGTAGATTTTTCTCTGATTCCTGGTTTGGATCATGGAAGAAATCACCGCTTCTCCTTTCCTCCTTCAGTTTCACCTCCGCAAGCAGATGACTAATTCATCATCTAATCTAAACCTTCCCTCTTTCAGGTTAAAGACCCCCCCTTTAAAGTCCTACCACTTCATGCCCTTGTCAGAAGTCCCCCTCCAGCTCTGTATAACCCCAGGTACTGGAAAGAGCTCTCAGGTTTCCTCAGAGCCATCTCTTCTCCAGGCTGCACAACCCCAACTCTCTCAGTCTGTTTCCACAGCAGAGATGCTCCAGCCCTGTGAGCATTTTCATGGTCTCCTCTGGACTTACTCCACACGTCAACATCCTTATGTTGAGGGCCCTAGAGCTGGATGCAGCACTACAGGTGGGGTTTCACCAGAGCAGAGGAGGAGAGTCCCCTCCCTTGGCCTGCTGCCCAGATGCAGCCCAAAAAGGCAGCAGAGTCCTTTGGGCTGCCAGGGCACATTGTTGAGTCATGTTGAGCTGCTCACCCACCAGCACTCCCAAGGTGTTGCCCCTCAGGGCTGTTCTCAAATCATTCTCTGTGCAGCCTGTATATGTGTGTGGGACTGCCCATTTCACACCATGTTCCAGCATATGGGGAAATGGAAAAGAAATTTGTATAAAAAGCGGGAGTTACTGTAGTTTTTGAAATCCAGATGTTGACTTCTTCCTGTCCCCAGATTTGAGACATTAAGGTTTTTCTGCTCTCAAAAACATCAGAGTTCATGCTCTTTGTGTCATCTCAGAGGCATTCATGCCATTCACCCGTTGTCCTTTAATTCTGGATAATTGTTAGGCTTCTGCACTGCAATAGCCTATAAAATGATTGATCTCAGAATGAAAAGAAAAACAAAGGGCTGTAGTCACACACAAAGATAATTTGCATCTTTCATCTCTGTTGAAGGGGGAACAGAGGACTTCAGATGACAGTCACCCAAGTATGGGGAGTTTCTGCTCTCTCAGATGGTTCCAAGTGTAGGAACAGTGTGCCAGTACAGCTGCAGCCATAGGGAGATTGAGCAATCTATGAAGGAAGGGCAAATAATTTGATAAGAACCAATGATGTTGAAACATCCCTCACCTTTACATTATTGGAAGTAAATATAATTCAATTACTGAGTCAAGAGCTCATAAAACAATACATAAGTGTATTTGGAACAAAGTTGAAGCTTATGAGACATTAACTCAGACCTGGTGTGGCTTTCACCTATCTTATTTTAAAAAGGACCAGAAAAAGTAAATGGGCAGGGACTCTCACTGCAAAAAGTACAAAGCGAGTTCTTGGGAAGATGAAAAAACAAGGCCTGCATTTAAATCAGGACTGCATGACATCACTGAATCATTTAGGTTGGAAAAGACCTCTAAGATCATGGTGTCCAACCATAAACCCAGCACTACCACACCCACACTAAGCCATGGCCCCAGGTGCCACATCCACATGCCTTTTAAACACTGCCAGGGATGATGACTCTCCCACTTCCCTCAGTAGCCTGTTTGAAAGCCTGGCAACGCTTTTGGGAAAGAGATATTTTCCTAATATCCAATCTAAACCTCTGGTGCAACTATAGGCTGTTTCCTCTCGTCCTGTCTCTTGTTACTGACACCCCACTGGATACAATCTCCTTTCAGGCAGTTAGTTGTAGAGAGCAATAAGGTCCCCCTGAGCCTCCTTCAGGCTAAACACCCCCAGCTTCCTCAGGCTGCTCCTCATTAGACTTGCACTCTCCACCATGCTGTACTGGTCATCATCTTGGGTTCAAGCTCACAGAGATGGATTTCCTCTGCAATCCTGTCTTGCTTTTTTCATCTTATCATCATAATCACTTTTTTCATCTTATTTCACTGGCATCTTCTATTTTATTCTTAGTAACAGGCACTGGGAATGCAGAAAAGGCTGTCCTTTTACTTTACAGTTTGCTAACGTGGTATCAGTGGGACTTCAAAATACAAAGTTTTAAGGCTTGTGGATGCCAGGCTTTGCACAAATGCTTCCCAATGTTCCTTAAAAATGCTGGTTGTGTTGCATTTGGTGTCTGTGGGCCTTTTATGGCCTGTTTCTCTTGGCTGCCAGCTCACACATGCTGCTTCACAAAGATAAAGGCTGGGGACTGACCCACTCGGCGGCAGAGCAGCTGGGGTGGAATCTTCCTGGCTCCCAGCCCAGCCGCAGCTCGGCTTTAATTTCAGCGTCAGGGTGGGAGTTCACTGCCTACTGGGAGATCGTTTTCCTGGTGGGAGGCAGAACAGTGGTGTATGTAAGAAATCCTGCCCTATAAAAGTGCATTCCCATGATTTGGGCTATGAGCCCGTAATTTTAACAAATTATTTATGGCTCTAGCTGAAAGCAGCAATTTAACAAAGATACCATTTTGAGCTCTGCTGGAATTTTTTGATGAATCAATCCCAGCTGCTTCCACCATATAGCAAAGCATTTCAGACACCAAGAAGGAAATCGGGCTTTCAGTGACTGGAGCAGCCCAAGTGGAACAGATGCTGTTGTGGGAACTGACAGTGCTGACTCAGGAAGCTGTGATGAGTGCAGCAAGAGAAGACGTGGATGGAAAAGACTTGCAGCAGGTAATCTCCTTGTTGACACCAAAATTTCGTACTGGTGGTGGTGAAACTTAGCAGTTTAACTTTAAAAAAAGAAATCCATTTCTTTGCACACTGCAGCTCCCTGTTTTGGAAGTGGAATCTTCTGCATCCTACGAGTTGCCAAATGAAGGGAAGAATTAAGAGGCTGCAGCACAAAGCTGGGTAGGGTACTCCTCAGTCACCTGGCAATGCAAAACAGGCTCTGCTCCCTGCATGCCTTTTGGGAGGACAGATCATGTGGCAGGAGCAGTGTGAGGAGCCCACAGCATTTGTTTCAAATGCAGGACCTGAGCTAGGCAGTTTTGGTGAATGTGGCATCACCATTAATGTGCCACATTAACATGAAAATGTGTTAAATAATAAAAAAAAAAAGACGTAAAAAACAGACCTGGAGGAGTAAGATAAGATGTTTGCTCAACTTCTCCTAACAGTGTAATGTGCATGGTTCCATTTTTTTAAGTGTCCTCTCAGCCAACGCATTACAAAGCCTTTTCCCATTTGAGGCTGCCTTAAGGCCCAGAAGCTCATAAAATAACACAAATACATGACCACAATCAAGAGAGTGAAACCACCTTCACTATCAGATAACATGTAGTGCAAAAAGTCTCCACACTCTGCGGGCTGGTAGGAACTCATTCTGCTGGCATTCCCTTGGGATGACCACAGTCTTCTGGGTCAGTAGTCCACCTTCTCCTTCAGGCAAGTTATGCAGAAAAATGTCACAGCAGCTACAATGAGCATTATACCAGCTGCTGTGTCAGACAACACAGATGCAGCTGGAAAGGCAATTCCTGCTGGGTTATGTAAGATTTTGCCTCAAATGTAGCTACACTAACAGAAAACATTGCTCTAATTAGGGGACTGCAAGATGAAACTTTCAAGTACTCACTTTGCCTTTGCACCACTTTATACTTCATCAGATAAAAAGTTTTAAATGATTACTAGAGCAAATAACAGAAAAAGAACATAGTATTTTGTGTGTCTTGGAAAAGTTATTGTGCTCTCCTATCAATCTAAGCCTCTCTACTACTGTTTGGATAGCTCCAAGTGCCTCAGGGCTTTTAAAGCTTCATCTTAGTACTTTTATTAATACACACAGAATTAATATGTACAGAACAAGAAACTGTGAGCATGGAGGGACAAAATTTCTACAGTAGTTAACTTGTAACTGGCAACACTGATAGAAGCCCACCAAGAACAGCAACCAAGAGAACAGTTTAAATCTTCAGTGTAATAATGCACAACATTTAAATCATCAGATAATGATGACCGGTACCAATTCTCACATGCGTCCCCAGCTCGCCAGCAGCAATTCAGACTGATTTAAAGATCAATCTTTTATGCTGCAAACTCTAGTTTTCTAACACACCTTTCTGATGATTTTAAGCATGTAAGAACTTCTGAATAGATATGTATCAGACAACTAAATTCTCACAACTAGCAATTAATAATAAAATTCTTCGCACAGGTTTTATGCTTATACCCTGATGACATTTTCCCTTTCTTCAGGCTCAACGAAAAATTTAAAAGTGCTCTATTATGTGATGTTCATAAATTGGAAAATACCCTGACTGAGGTCACCTGCAGGAGATAAAGTTGTACGTTCTGGGCTTGCTTTTTAATTTATTTTATTTTTAACTTATTTAACTTATTTATCCAGTGGTGGTAAAGTGCTTCTTTATATCTACTTCATATCTACCATTTGTTTGTGCTCATCAGCTATTTTATGGCTGCGTTCCAGTAGCCAGTAATGTAATTTTGGGCCATTTTCTAATAAAAGTATTTAAAACATAATCTCCTGATTTAGTCAACAGGTGAAAAATTAAGTAACAAGACTATGGACAGCCTTCAGAGGAAAATTAGGTCAATATCAACAATAGATGGAAATGATTCTGTAACTGAATAATTTAATTACAGTAACAGCCCCGCCTTTTGTGAGCCCTCGATTTGTTTAAATCCTGAACTAATAAACTGTCTTTGCACTTTAGACTGTCAGTGCACAAATGCCTTGGCACTTAAGCTCACCCTCTGCTGATTGCAATTTGATTCAGCAGAGGTGTGTCTGAGATTTGGCTGCGGGCCAGGAAGGCGGAGTGAGCTGCGCTTCAGCAGGTGGAATGGAAGACCCCACCCACTTTGACACCCTGAGCGGCCAGGGCATTGTACTCCGCCACAGCCTTCTCCGTTTGCAGCACCAGCACGTCAATCCCGTTCTTCTTCAGATAGTCCACGGTGGATGCTGGAACCTCGGAAGTGAAAAGGAAATCACAAAAGCAAGTATCAGATTCTTTTCCCCTTAGACTGTATGACTTGTAGAAAACCAGGTACTGATGCCATTTGTTAAACACGGCTTAAGTAACTGCCAGTAGCCAAAATGATAATGCTCAGATAGTTGTAAGATTGATTTGATTTTTTTTTCTCTTCAATAAAGCTACTTTTATACGGACACCTCTCCTATCTCCTTAGCACACCTTAAAATGCAGTCCTCTCTTACAAAAATAAATAGAATTGGAACTAAAGGAATTTAATCTAAAGAAGGTGTTATTCATCTCACCAGAAAGCTAAAGACTTGCTTCTCACCAAGTAAAGCTCAGCACTTCTGATGTGAGCTTTCTGTAGCTAGTTTATCTGCTGGAACGACACCCTGGCAACAATTGTGACAAGAATGCCTAATTACCAAAGTATTTACAGCAGGCTAGAGAGCCAGTTATAACCTATTGCAAGAGGAGGGGCCTAATGACATTCTGAAAAATTCTTGTTTCAGTTGCTCCTGTAGCAGAACAAAAACCTGTTTACTGCTTGACATTGACACTAATACAGGGAAGCTCAAATGATGTTTCTTTCAGGACCTGAGGGACCCCTGACAGGAGCTTATTCACACTGATCCTCAATTTTTTCCCTCTTAGTGAAGCATCATCGATCTAATTTTTTTCCTCCTAATCAGAGGGAGAGGGAAAACAAACAGTTCTCTTTATGCTTGTCACAGAACAAAAACCTACCTGCAAAGCCTCACTCATGCCACGACCAATCACCATAGTTTTAACACCCTTCTTGACGACTTCTTCAAGGTCAGCTGGCTGCACTCCTGGAGAATGCTAAGTGTCAGGGAAGGAAAATAATAGTCTGTGTACTGACAGCCACGAAAGCTGCATCTGTGTGTCCTGAACACAGAGCAGCAAGGTAAATTAGCAGAACCACATGTAACAATGTAACACAACCCTCTTCTGTACATACACACAGTAGACAACATTAGAAACTGAAAAAGGTATTTAATATGTAGATGAACGATGATAATTAATTGATTGATAGCAAGATTGTAGTTCCTTATTAAACAGCCAAAACCAAAAAGATGTATTACACATTTATGTTTGACTTTGGGCATTTTATAAATATTAACCGTTAAAGTGAAACCAGTAAATTGCAACAATATGCTGTTTGATTTCAATAACAAAAATCTACTTGTAAGAAAGATTGTTGCAAGCCAAAGTTTACTCAATTTAAATACAAAGAGCTCCTCAGATAATTAAAAATATTAAATAATTTTCTTGTTTACTTTGCAAATCTCACCAAAGAGGACTGAAATGTATTGGCTGGCTTCATTTCAGCTAACAGCATCCATTTCTGCACTATTTGTTTTGAGAAAAGAATATTTGAAACCAAACTCCTCAAAGAAAGAAGGAATTTTCACAGCACATTAACAGAGGTTTTAAAAAGTACGCCCATTTACTGCTATTATAATTTAAACATATGAACAACACATAAACACACCTATAATGTTAATATAAAACATTATGATGTTACAGTACTTCTCCTCCTGGATTCAGTTTCTATGTGTCTTCATGTGGTCAAGAGTAAGATACTGTACATCCTGTGGCTATAATTGGGGCCCTCTTTGGTGTGCATTTTTATTTTTAAAACATTATTTGTTCCTCCCCCTTTTGTTTTTAAGTAGAATGCTGAAGTTTTCTGGAGGTCTGAGTTTCTCACTTGAAGTAGGTAATATTTATGCTGTGGTGGACTCATGGAGAATGGAGCAAGTAAGACTTTTCAAGCCTAAACAAACACATGAGCTCCTAAAGTTGCAGGTGAAAAAAACCTTCCATGGTAGAGTGCTACTTCCAATGAGTGAATTAAACTTATTCCACAAGAACACCTCAAGTTGGAAGGGATCCATGAGAATCATTCACAGGCCTATCTTAAGCTAAACCACAACTTAAGAGCATTGTCCAGGTGCTCCTGGAACTCTGACAAGTGTGCTCTGTGACCACTTCCCTGGAGAAGTCTGTTCCAGAGCCCAACCACCCTCTGGGTAAAAAAAACCTTTTCCTCACACCTCATCTGAATGTCCCCTTGCAGCTTGACTGCATTTCTGTGGGTCCTACTGCTGGTCACAAGAGAGGAGGTCAGCACCTTCCCTGCACTGCCCCGCCTCTGAAAAGTGTAGAGTGCAATGAGGACACGCCTCAGCCTCCTCTTCTCCAAGATGAACAAGCCAAATTACCTCAGCTGCTAGTCATAAGCCTTGCCCTCAAGGCCTTTCAGCTTCTTCATCACCCTCCTTGGATCACAGTCTAACAGTCTGATGTCCTTCTTATGTTGAGGTGCCCAAAACTGCACACAGAACTTGAAGTGGAGCTGCTCCCACTCCAGAGCGGAGTGGGACAAGCACCTCCCTTGGCTGTACTCTGCTTGACACACTCCAGGACATGTCTGGCCTTTTGGGCTGCCAGGACCAAAGGCTGTGTTCCCCTTAGTCCATTTACATTCCATATCCACACCTGGAATGCAGAATTCACTTGAATAGGCAGAGCTTTCTCAGCCCAAATCATTCTAAGTATTTGTTTATGACAGAATAGGCAATGCTTTTCCTTTGGGGTTTTTATAAGTAGACTCAAAACTTAGACAACAAGAATTGGTATGTTTTATTGCAATTACAATAATTAGATTCTGGGGAAGGTTTACTGTCACCTGAGAAGCATTCCTGAGACATTAAATCCATGGAACAAAAGGATTTTCTTTGGTTACACGAGACACTTTGATGCCAGTAAGAAACTAGTGTTACTAAAGGAAACATGTAACATGATGAAATAACTGTATCATTGTTGATTTGACAGCAGATTTTCTTGCCTGTTCTTTTATCCGGCCTTTATTTCAGCAATACCTACTTCTTTTCTTCTGCCATTAGCAGATGGCACTGAAATGCAGCCAGCCAGGGAGAGAGGGTGCCATTCATCTCCAAGGGTTAAGGCCACAATAACTGTTAGTGCTCAGTTACAGAACCTTGCAGGGCCAGTTATACAATTTTCCTGATGAAAGAATGCTCCACTAGACAGCAGTGTGACAGCAGAGGAGGAAAGGAAGCAATTTATTTCCAACTAGAGTGTAGGACATGACCAGCACTGCTTGTTTTCCACACTTCAGTTCCAGCTACCTCCAGGAAAAACATGCTTAAGGAAAGCAGGCAAACTGTAGTCCATCATTAAAAAAATGGGCAGAAAATGCAGCTGTTGAATCCTACTGCTTCTAGTGCTGACAAAATTAAATTTTTGACAGTCCTTCTCAACATTGGAGATACAGTCTAGAAAAAGCTTAGTTCTATTCTTAATACTTGTTGTTTGCAATTTATTTTAAAAGAAAATCACCTCACTCCTCAGGTGCAAGGATAGAACTGACCTAAAGCAGGAGCTTTTCAAGTGACTTACATAACATCTTACTTTTTTTTTTCCTAGCCAATTATCTATTGCAGTGCAAGTTCTAATATGGGGAGAATTATCAACATTGTGTTCCTAACACAATATATGCTACACTGCTTCTAAATCTGAATACTGCTCCATGTACTTTCATCCAATTCTGATTGCATTTATAGATAAACTTTAAAAATTACAAGGGCAAACACTTAGTATATGGCTACCAAGAGAAGTTGCTGTGTGGTTAGCCAGACTGTGAGCTTTTCACAGAGAAAATAGTGCATGAAACACTGTATCTGCATATTTTTCATCTGAAATATGTACAAGGGACCCCAAGGAAAAGGATATAAACCAAACCACATGCAATGTTGTCTTTCAAACATGCAAGGTCAGTTACTGTCTATATTTTTATTTTACTTATCGTAATTTCCTATCTCTCTCAAGATAACTTTTGTTTAGACAGTCTGAAGAGAGGTTGTTACTGGCATCTTACGACAATTGCACTCTTAAGCAGATGAGGAATATTGTTTGAGAGCTCTAAGGTGTGTGTGAGTTGTCTGGTCGGGGTGGTTGTCTGTGGGGGACAGTGAGCCAGCCAACAATACACCCGTCCTTCCTCGGAGGGAAGAAACTATTTACAGTTTGCCACTCTCCTTAGGGGAGAAAACTTAGCTGGCCAACTTTGCAGGTGTGGTGAAGCAAAAAGCCACCTGTCCAGCATCCTTTTCAGTTCATGTTAATTCTGTGTTTCTTATTGGTTGTTCCCTTTAACACGCCCTGACCTCCAGGAGATAAAAGGTCAAATTCCTGTAAGCCCAGTAGCATTTGTACAGAGATTTCTTGGGGCAGAGAGATGAAATATGACGCTCTATCTCTCTTTTTTCTGCGTCGCTGAGAGCTGAATTTCACTCAGCCTTTTTAAAAGCTAAAGCTGAATTCACTATAGCAGCTGAGAGGTGCAGGGTCTCGGCACTCCACCACCACCCCAGCTGGCTACAGTTGTCAGAACTCATGGCTATGTTGCTATAGAACAGTTGCTATATCCTGTTGTGTGTAGGATGTTGTGGGACTGCAGCCCTCTGACCTCTCCACAAAGTCACCTCCAAAACATACACTCAGTTCTTCCCAGGAAAATCTAATGGCTGGATGAAAGAAAAAGGCAGCTCACTGAATTTCTGGCTGGAACTTTGACACTGTCTTCTGGACCATTCTCAGAGTCCTGTTTTAAACGCAGGGTAGTGAAGCAGCAAACTTACATTAGTCCCAGTTTCTCGCCAATCCCACGTCCGACTTCCTCCTGGCCATACTTTGCAGTCCTTATATGTTGTAGAGCAGCCTTTCACCTTCATCTGACCCCAAGAAAGGGAAGCGATTTCAGGGGAAGACATCATGAAGTTGAAACAAAGTCTGGAAAAAGGATATTTAATACTTAACATCAGGCCAACATATGCAGCACATTAATAAAAATGGAAAATTCTGTCCTCGCCCCAAGGAGCTAGGAAGGAAACGCTATTACAGACTTTATCCACGTGGTTTTGTGACAACAGACTTGAACTGAGGATCAGCAGATTTGTTGAATTACCAGTTCTCTTGGGGATTTTGTGCAGGATTTTGTGCAAATCATTTTACGTGCTAAATCTATTCAAGTATTGGATGTTCAACTTTTAAAACTATCAACAAGGATCAGGTCCCAAAATATCCTCTCACATCTGGGTTTTAATGTTCTCCCTAAAATGAACAATGAAGATGATAATAATTTCCTAAAATATCAGAAATCTGCACTACTTGTTTGGCCACTTTCTTCTTTTACAATTAAAGTAGTAAATGAGGTTAAAAGGAAATGCCAAACAAACCCAACAATAAAGCCATGAACCAAACAGTGTAACTGCTATAGAAAACAAGACTTTCAGGGATGCAAAGGGGTCGAGCCTTTTCCTAGACACTGCTGACAGAGACCAAGTCTCCCAGGATAATTACACATCCACATAAGAACTTGTCTAATTGTTTGACCTCCATCTTCATTGTTTCAAGTTAAATCCATTATTTCTAATCCTTTCTGTTGGAGACAAATAGAACAGCTTAATCTTTGTCTTTTTCACCATTTTTTTTTTTCTTGAGGATTTCACTCAGTATTTTTCTTATATTTCATTTAGATTAAATAAGCATCCCTTCAGTCATGTTTTCCAAGTGTCTGCTTATTTTCTCCCTTTTTCTTTTAGCAGCCAACCACTGGTACACATCTTCCTTTGATGTCAGTTGCCTAGAACTTGACAGAGCTTTATCAGTGCCACTGTAGCTCAACTGCTTTTTGGTGTGTGCTGCAGTGATGTTGGGATCAGCTTCCACGATCACTGCTGGGCACCAGCAGGGCAGGGACTCTGCCTCACAAGGCACCTTGTCAGCAGCCATAGGAAGCTTCCCACTCCTCACAATCCCTCAAGTGCTGCAGTCTGATTGCTGCAGTGATTCTGGCAATGGAAAGAGAGTAACCACAGGGTGATGATACCGTGGAAATGCTTTGGACTAGCATAGCAGTCCACTGACACATCTCCAGGGCAGAGTTAGCTTTCTGCCCTTCCAATTCACATGGTCTGATATCCACATTTTGAAGAAAACTTGATGTTTCTCCAGTAAAAAGAGGTCTACCTCTGCCTAATCCAGAAAATCTCTGTGGCAGATCCTTCCAGATACACAGATTCCCATCCTTTATTTTTTAATTGTTTACATTCACCAGGAATTGAATAGTTTAAATTAATTATATAAACCCTGGAAGCACAAATTAAAGGCACTGCCCTTGCAAAAGATAAATCTTTGGACAACCATGCTTCTAGTCCTCCTGGAAGCCTCCCTTCCTGTCTTGCACGTGCTACAAAAGATGCAGCACTGCCAGACAGGACATGCTCTCCGTGGATTGCCAGAAGCAGATCTCAGTATCCCACCTAAAACGTTGCATGAAGGAAAAAACATATTACTTTGGATTCATCACAGGACTGAATTTGCCAGAGGTGCTTCTCACACAGGATAGTGGGGCAATTCTTTTCCTTCTCACTCCCGTGTGAAGTTAGTGGCACATGTGTCCTGACAAACAGGAAGCAAGGGAAGCAGCTAGAGGGGACTAAAACTTGCTTGGATTCATATATTCCAAATTCTCTCATCGCACATCCACGATGCAATCGTGGATTAGAACAAAAATTTGTAAGATTATTTTTCCAAAGGTCTGCCTTGAAGGGAGATTCTAGCTGAAGAAATAACCAGCAGTAGTCCCAACAGAATGAAATCAAAGAGCAAAGGCTTGAATAAAGCACCCAGAACATGGCTCTGAAGAATGAAAATAATTTTTGCCTGTGCTGCTTTTCAGATGAAATGGTAGAATTAGACCTGGAGGTTAGACAGAAGTGGATGAACAATAAAATGATCAGGAATATCACCTTCCCCAATCCAAAGAGTATCACAAGACCGGAACTCTGCAATCAAACTGGCACAAACTGCAGATGGGAGAGCAAGGATTCCATGCAATCTTTTCCTAACAGCATAAAAATAAGTAAATAGCAGATATGAAACAACAAAACTTACAAGGTACAAGTAAAAATTTATCATCTAATACCCTTTCCCACAATACTGCCAGAGATTATCAGTAAGGTCAAGCCACTTGAATAAGTAAGAATATCTTAGAGTAAGAATGCACTCATTGACAGAAGTTTTGGGCATCCTTTGATGTAGAGTGTGGTCCAATCACTGAGGAGCAGGAAAATAGTTCTCGAATAAATTATTTTTTAAATTATTCACTGTGAGAAATGTAAAGTATCAAAATATACAGTAACACTTAAGATCAAAAGAGACCTTGAATTAAATGACTTGCAAGTACAACCTAAAACAGCAATTTCTGCAAACTGCAGTAGTCCAAACACAAAGAACCAAGGAGCAGAAATGGCTCAGGACTCTACAAGCAAAGTCATGAGAGTTTAAAAACATCAGAAATAAAGGAAGAAGAACTTAAAAGGTGGAAAAATGCATGTTTATGCCAGGGGGCTATACTGAAAGAGATAAATGAAGTGATGGATAAGGATGGCAGAAGACAAAAGTAGCTGAGAAAGAAGCGGAAGAAAGCTGAGATTGAATTGCAGCTGGGCAAGCTGGTGGACTTTAAAATTGCCAGCACACCTTTGTTCTATGGAGGTAACCAGCAACAAAAGGAGTAAGAGGTGAACGGGAGCAGTGCACCAGATAATATTTGATTGAGACACTGCAGAAGGAAAGGACGTTTTGTAATATCCAAGGGGCAACCTGAGACTGAAGAGGATACAAGGGGAAGAGTAAATCGGTGTACGTGAAGTTTTGGGCAGAACAAATTCTTGTAAGGTGTCTGTCAGAAGACAACGTGGCTCTCCAGCGCTGTCTAGGAGCAGGGTCAGGAGGCAGGTGACTTCTCATTCCAGGGGCTACAGGAGCCAGAGGAAGGTCAGGATTGAAAACTGACAGCAGCAAGGCAAATAGAAAGGACGGGAGAAGTTTAGATCAACTGCGTAGGGAGGGGGAAGGTGTCAAGTTCACGTAGGAGGAAAACACACTTTGGGAATTCGGCAATTCCATTTCGCTGGGGAGCCTTGTGTCGGCACTTAACCGGGGATCTGGTAGTAAGAGAGAAGGGGGAACAGCACTTTGTGAATACAGCGGAGAGAAGCATGGAGACGAGGACAGAGAACCCTGAGAAGCACGGCGGGGGGATGGAGGGAGGGAGTTGGGAAGGTGCAGTTCAGAACCCCCCGAAACGCGGCCTTTTAGTGACGGGGCACAAGGACCGCGACTGCCACCGGCGCCGGCCGCGCCCGCCCTCCCGCCCGCTCCCCTCACGCCGCGGGTCCGTCGCACGCCCGCACTCACCGCCCCGCGCGCGCGACCCCACTGCCCCGCCAGGCTCCGCCTCCGCCCGACCCCGCGGGGAGGGGGCGAGGCCTTCGCGCTGCCACCCTCCCATTGGCCAGGACTCTCTGCCGGCCGCGCCCCCTTCCCGTTTCGATTGGTCAGTCCCTGGGCCTATCCCCGCCTCTTCCCCGCCTTGTTTTCATTCCCCCTCGCCGCGCGCGGCGGAGGGGAGCCGGCTCGCGCCGCTCTGGCCGCCGCCCCCTGCCCTCCCCTGCCTTCATCGTCCCCCCGGTGCATTGTGGGATAGTGGCGGCCCGGCCCGGCAGCGCCCCCTCCTCCCTCCCCCTCCCCAGCTCCTTCTCCATCCCCAGGTCCAAGATGGCGGCGGCGGCGGCTCCTCCGGCCCCATCCCCGCCGCCCCCTGCCCCGGCGGGCCCGCGCTGCCCGGGGTCCTGGCCCAACTTCGCCGTTGTCTGCTCTTTCCTCGAGCGCTACGGGGCCCTGCTGGACCTGCCCGAGCTGCCCTTCCCCGAGCTGGAGCGCGTCTTGCAACCACCGCAGGAGCCCGGAGACCAGGGTGAGCGAGTCCGATACCACTCCCGCCCGCCCGCTCCGGGACGGCCGGCTGAGGGGGGCCCGGGGGGCGGAGGGGGGCCGGGGCTGTCCCCCCCCCGCCTCCTCCCGGCCCCGGGGGTGGAGCGCGCCGAGGGAGAGGAGGGGCCTGGGATTCCCGGGGGGAGGGGAGCCCTCTCTCCCTGCTTTTTTTTGGGGGGGAGCAGCTGTTTGTGTGTGTATATTGGGTGGGAGAGCTGTCTATGGAGGACTTCCCCCTCCCCTCTCCTTCCTTTCAGTGCCGCCTGTGACCCCCCTCCGACCCTCCCTTCCCCCTCCCTTTCCCTGGGTTCGTTCCCGAGCTCTGTGCGGGTGGGACTCCTTGCAGAAAACAGGGATTAGACGAAATAACTATTTTCGTTCAGCTTGGCGCTAGTAGCCGGTCTCTCTACCACCTCCTTCCTTCCCCACAGCTTGGGGGGCGCTTTACAGCCTCTTCCCCACCCCCTGTCCCCCTATATCTCTGTTCGTTTTTACCTCTCCCCCGAAACAAGAAGGGAACGCACGCACACACATATACAAACACACGGGAATGTCCCGATCCCCAGTGACCCTCCCCCCCCCCCCCCCCCC